TTTTCCCTTTTCATGCCGCGCCCCCCTGAAATGGCTCTGCACCCCCCCTAGGGAGCGGGCCCCACACTTTGGGAAGGTCTGCCCTAGTGTATGCCTGGTTGCTCACCTTAAAGCCTGCAGGCCTTGAAAGCTGAGCAGTACTACCTCTGAGGTCTCAGGTCTGTTTCCTGCACATTTACTTTGCTTGCGAGGAATGCATGAGCATACTTTAAGATTTATTTACCTTCTAAGATAACAAGTGATCGACTGTAGAGGCAGGGGGGGGTTCAGCGATTAGCAATGTTGCCTCACAACAACAGAGTCCTGGGTTAAAACCCAGGCATGGCTCTTCTGGTGGGAGTTTGCATGTTTATCTGCCAATGAAAGTTTAACTCCACAGTGATCAGCTGCAGCTGGTACCGGACTAACGCTGGCAGCTGCAGACTGAAATAGTGGAACTGGAGTTCATGCACAGGATGAGGAAGTCACGTGAGTCATCAAGTTCACACACTACTATCTATTCATTTATTCGAAGAGGCGCGCCTGTCCCACCACTGCCACGAGTACTTTAAAATGAACTGAGAGACAACTTAAGTCTTTTAAATTCCTTGTTAGCTCAGAGGTTATCATTTACTCCTCACGCTATGAGAGTCCGAGGTTTAAACCCACACAGCAGGTGAACTGGTGCTTGGATAGTACATTTCCATTCAATATGAGCACTCAAAGCATTTTTACTACCCATGTGCACACATCCATGTGTCCTTCTGTTTTTGTCTATCTGATGGAAGCATCAGGGCAACTTGGGGTTCAGCATCTTGCCTGAGGTTTCTTCAATAAGCGAGCTGAAGGAGCCAAGAATCAAACCACTGATGGTCCAATTAGCAGACGAGCTTCTCCAGCTCCTGAGCCACAGTCGTCCAATTTACCCAACGGCCCCTTATCAAATCTTCTGATCTCTTTGCTATCAGGCGTGAGATTTTTTTTTTTAATGTGAAGAGCTACTAGAGCTGACTGGTTTTGCTTCCTGGGTACATAAAGCTATGCAACTATAGTGTTTAAACAAAGTTTATAATGTTTTCTGTTTCCTCAGCTCTCTGTGAGGGTCCTCGAAAGTTTAACAGCTCAAATGAGACAGTGTGGGAAGAAAAAGCGCCGATGGTACGACACACACCTTGGTCTGTCTGCATCTGACGCACCCCACATTGTCATCACGCATACTGTTGACTGAGTGAGCCATCAAACAGTCATTTGGAGCTCTGCATCTGTGTGAGGTCTTGATAAGATTTCCTCAGAATGGGCTTCAAACTAAAAACCATAAAAACAAAACAAAACCATCAAAGCTACAAACACACAGACGCACACACGGAGCAGAGATTGTAACGTGGTGTACAAACAGGAAACCTGCTGCTGACACTTAATGAAAAACGAGATTAAAGCACTCACACAAAAATATAAAATCACACACACACACACACTGAGACCATCCCAATGTCACATCCCATTGGAACACACACACACACACTTCCTGCTGTTTTTGACAAAAGAAGGAGGTCAGAGCAGGGACAAAGGCCCTGCTCTGACCTCCTTCTCCTTTCACTTTACCCTGAAAACACACACACACACACACACACACACACACACA